AAATTAGGAAAAAAAAATTTAGCTGGCCCTAATGTGTATGAATTCGGCCATACAAGGGCAGAGAAACAATTTTGCGATTTGAATCTCCTCCGAGGGACACTCATTCGGCACGTGAGATTGAAAGAATCCCATGTAAATATAAAAGAAAAAGAATGAGTTGCAATGGAACTCGACAGAATTTACAGGAGGAATCTTGTAATGAAGCCTGTGCTGAGTATCCTCTGCAGATTTTATCCATTGAGCAGCACGTAAAGACACAAAAAATAAGAAAGAACGAAAAGAACAGCTTCCCTGTTTCTAACCTTTTTTCTTCTTTTCTATCCAATCCCTCAATATATACCTATCATCTACTTAACGAACTAATTTACTATCAACTGCTGTCCTTGCTGCTGACAAAGCAAGACTAAGAAGAGAACTTGGAAGCTGCTATGGACAAAGAGCAGTTGGTCGATAACTCCAACTAATTGATAGCATAATATAATCAACGCTACACCATCAATCGACGCTACGGTTTCAAATTTACAACATCGGCAATCTTACAGATGGCCATTCACTTGTGAATCCACTAAGATGTACACCGGAATCGAAGCGAAAACCTGGATCACTGAGAAGCAACCGGATGCGCAGATTGGGCAATCACAGCCGGCAGCGACTGGGCGAACACTGGGGGCGACCGAACTTGCACCGCCGGGTTTGTGTAGATCTGGACTGGACGAGCGGCGCAAGGTAGCCATCAAGAAGACGGACGGTGACAAACCGAGGGCGACCACAGGGCAACCACCGGAACCACCGGACGGTCGCCACCGTGGAGGGGGCACTTTGGGGTGGTGCTGGGGAGACTGTTGGGCGTAGACGGATAGGGTTAAGAAATCGTTTTTTTTTAATGAACTATTTTTTGGAATACTTTTTTTAAACAAAAGTAATTTTAACTTTTTATTTAACAAAGACGAAAATAAAGAAATTACGAGCGAGATAGATGGCGGACTCCGGAAAACTAGAGAGAGAAGTCACCAGAAAGCGAATTATTAGTATTGTTTATAATCATTATGCATATTAATCAAATCAACGAATTATTTATTGAGGTGTCATCAGGCTCACGTCGAGCAATAATAATAATAAAAGCGAGATTATTCCAATATTTTCATTTTATTTACGTTATATATCATCATTTACAAAATAAATTTTTGGTAATAATTTATTTTTCCTAATTATTGGTCGAAGGAGGGGACATTTGTGGATCAGTAGGAAAACTTGGGCAGGCATTTGCTGGGTTTAAGGTATAGCTGCTAGTCCTGTGCAGGTGCAATGCTGAGGCACCACACCGATTTTCCCGCAACCGTGGGCAAGCGGATACTATCTCACCTAGGATCTACTCACTAAGCATGATTTCCTTCAGTGATAGTTTTCTAAGCGATTTCAATTGAATCGGTCCAAGTGGTTTGACATCACAAGCAATTAACTTGAGCTCCACTATATAGCTACACCTGAGAACAATGCTAGGCACCTTGTAAGGAATAACAGAAATGCCGCACCCTAGGAAGTCCAAATCGAGGAACTTAACCTTTTTTCCTCGGTGCAAAGCAAATCCATGTATCGATTTCGTTCGACCTTCTTCTCTCTTTCGTTACATGGTCCTCGAATTCAGGATCATCGTGGACATCCTCATCCGCTGTGTAGTTCAAATAGAATTCCATCTTGAGCCGGAATGAATCAATTGTGGGGCTCTCGCGGAGGGTCAATACATGGTTGGTGAAATTTAAGAACTTCTCATCATACTCAAGACCATTGTGCCCCACCCGCTCCTCACAGTTATGGAAAGCACAATGATCAAAAGATAAGTTGCGCGTAAAAGTCCAGAGGTAATGGAATTGCAGGATCATCACTGTCCGCACGCCATCCCTCATGGGCAGGAAGGAATGTATGTAGAGACTAGTATCGAGCCCGGCAAACTACTTATTACATCATTTCCACCATCTTTATGGCCCTTCCAACTTTTCGCATTGCTGCTTTCCGCAACAACATTATTGCCTTCCATAGTTGATCTACTCCAGGACACGCTCTGCAAATTACACAAACATAACAGAAAAAAATATGTCAGAAGATACTTATAAAGTAGTTCATGCATTGTACACCGCTATGATGTGATCAAAACCACATCAGTCAATGAGAAATGGATCTGAGAGAGAAATTCGAGATTAAATCATAGAATTATGTCATATTGCTAGTTTGCTGGTTGAAGGATTCTGGAACATATAGTTGTCTCCCCCTTCCAAATGATCCACGTGCGAAATAATTATTAACCCGATTAGTGGGGCTAGTTCTCTCCAGTTGCATCTTGATCTTTCGGGCCATTTCTTGAGCATCCCCGACAGAGAACAAATGATGTAGTGAAATGCAGTTTTGAATGTTGAGTCGCAAGCCATTGATGTACCTGGCGGTCTATTGTGCCTCCGATTTAGCCAGGTTGTTGCAGGCGGAGAGTCGAAGAAACTCCTCCGTGTAGGTTTGGATTGATCGGTTTAGCTGCTTTCAATACTGGAATTGCTGAAACAACAATTGTTCATAATCGGTTGGAAGGAACCTGACCTTCAACATTTGCTTCATCCGATTCCACATTCGGATGGGAGCTTTCCCTCGTCGACGTCGGGTCAGCTGTGTCTGCTCCCACTAGGCTGAGGCGCCTCCCTTCAACTTGTACGCCACCAGTTTTACTTGGCGGTCCTCTTCGATCTCCATGGCATCGAAGAATTTCTCAACTTCCCAAAGCCAGTCTAGAAAGTCTTCGATATTCAAGTTGCCATTGAAGGTTGGGAGGTCAACCTTCAATTGATATTGCTCGGCCGACAAACTCCACGAATAGGCCTATCCAAGAACTCTTCTTCTTCGAAGTCCTGGACATAGGCTTGTCGCCTCTGTCGGGGATTTGCCCCACGTTCCATAGCGGCTTCCGGGACTCGAGCGGCCTGAGCACGTTCTACTGGAAGATTACCAGGTATGGGGTTGGTGGACAAACATCGGATGGCAACAAGTAATTCTTGAAACCGCTGTTCGGTTTGCTTTGCAAATCGATTGAACTCAGCCAGTGTAAGAGGCTCGTTTTCACGGCCCTCAGCTATGGGAAGATTGACATTAACGTTATTTGTCATCGTCACAGGAGAGACCTGCTCTGATACCAAAAGAAGCAGAGGAAAATAAACTTGGAAAAGAATTCCCAAAGATAACGATTATTTTCAATCTTGAAGTACTATTTATAATATCTTAGGCACCTAGTTAATATTTAAAATCAAATAACATAATTAAGGAAAACGATATTGATAAAGGGGAAAGTCTTCAAAACGCGTTTCGAAATCTACAAATCACGTCCGAAATCTTTGAAAGCAATATTAATAAAGGGGAAAGTCTTCAAAATGCATTCCGAAATCTACAAATCACGTCCAAAATCTTCGAAAGCTTGAAAATCAAGGATTATCTTTAAAGGATCGGAAATCAAGGATTTTGATTTGATATGTTGTACGCGTTATAACTCATCTAGATCAAAAGTTATGATCGTTCGAAATTCGGGAGCGCTCGCCCTTATGACGCTTGAAGGTTTCCATATAAGCATTTGTTATTTGTTCTACATCAACATGTCAAATGTTTTTAGTTCTAGTTCGGCACACGGCGGATTGCTCAAATTATTCGAATATGAATTGTCTTTGGGTTGGGGAAATCGAAGAGGAGCGAGAAAGGTAAAAAAGTAGCTGGTAACATGGTTGTTTCAATAAGTCATGGGAAAAAAAAAAGGTAGAAATCATTATTTACTTTAATTCAATTTTTTGAAAAGATTTTGAAGCTTTCACAATTTAATTGTATTTCATTTTTTTTCAAATGTTTTAGATTTTGTAGCTTTCACAATTTAATATCCATGTATCTTTACATGCTTCAGCTATTGCTTGAGGCACTTGATTTAATCAAGGAGCTGAAATTTGAACGCAAGCTGTTCTTTTATCTCCAGCACTTGTAGGAGCTGGAAATACCAAGGAGCTCTCACTTGCTACGTAGCAATTGAAGCGTCACGGACTCGCAGGTTAAAGATGGACAAGACTGATTTGTGAGCCCCCATACAGCGCATAAAAATTCTAGGAAAGTAAGATGGAGGAGTGTGAAGAAGAAAGTGAAGTAACTTGGACTCGAATATAATAAATCGAGCGGAACAAGTTCAGTTCAAATGTTGATCTAAACCGAGACGGGCCGATCAAGCTGAAACTATCTATTTGGTTCAAAAATCAAATCCCATTTGAATAGGCTTTTGTCAATTCTGACATCGTTTACGTTAGGTTTCCAAAAATCAATGTGGGAGTGCTTTTTTGTGAAATCTCATATTAGAGCACCATTTATTATCTTGGAATTGCTGCAGTTGAAGCGCACATACTGATCGAGATCAATGCTCAACGGACATGTTACTATGAAAAGTCTCGTTGAAAACAACCTGTGTTAGGAGGGGATGAAATAGATTCGCACGAAGTTGGACTGATTTCCCCCAATTCATAGTATAAGGGGTCGATCGCCAAATTACCTAAAGTACAGATATATGGCCCGATTTTCTCATGGAAGGTCTTCCATTGAGCTCTAACATCATTCGTGAGGAATAATGAGCTGAAAGGTTTGGATACTTAGGAAGACGAGCACATAGAATAACACTTTTAGAGAAGACTTTAATAAAAGATATGAACTTGAGGACTGCACAACTCAAATACTTTACGGAATCTGTACACTAGGTTCAGATCGTACTGATATCGATGTTGATATACTAATCATTCGAGGGCGGCACTTAAGAATGTTGACGGGCATTGACTTCAAGAAACGGTAGCTAAAGCTGAAAAGAGAAACATTGAAGACGGCAGCCTATAAAGCGAAAAACCAAGAGCGAACAGCAGCCACAAGAGGGAAGGTTACTAATTAAGAGTTTGTAACTGGTATCAAGAGATAATTCAAGTAAGTCTATACTGTAAAAATTTAGCCAAACTATTAGCAAAAGCTGGGAATTTGAAAAGAAAGGCTGTCAAGAATAACTTACATTGACAAAAAAAGACACATCCACTATCAAAATATTCATAAAGCTGCCTGTACAGAGTCGGGGATGTTGCTAGACCTGAGGTAAAAAAGCGAATACATCATAAAGGCCAACTACTTCTGTAAAGTCTATCAGATGTGAGACATGCCTGACATAGAAACATCAAGGGTGTCCAAAAGAGGGGCGAACACAATTCCAATACCAGTATCTAACCCAAGTGTATTACTGCACGAGTTGAGGCCCTTGGGAAACTTAACAACTTTTGTGAAAAGTCTAGCAGCGCATCCGATGTACAATAATCCTTTGACGGATGACCAATGTCTCTGGAAAACATGTACTTGCCACGTGTTCGCTGCAGAGTCTTCTTGGTAGAAATCTCCATTTTCTCCAGGACCTGTGCATTCTTAAGTAGAAATTCAATGAGCTCAATGACATCAGACTCCAGTACATAACCATATACTTTAACATGCTTAAGTTGGTGCTCGAGGCAGGGAAATGTGCCGTCCACTGAACTCCAGTAACTAAAGCCATTGTAATCAAATGCAAGATTCCACCCTGCTTCAGCAAGCTAGAAATTTAAAGCAACTTTTCAATCTCCATTAATTCCAAATTCCACAATGCCAATAAAATGTAACAGTTTAAGCATTTATACCTCTGAGTCATCTTCATCTCTTCCTGGATAAACATGGATAGTGAGTGTCTCAAGAAAATGAGAGTTCCTCAACAAGCTAGAAATGCCGGGGAGGTACCGCTTTTCAAGATGCAGTTGAAGTGTCACATGCTTCCAGGCAAAAGATGGGCGTGGCTGATGTGTCAGCTCCCATATAGTTAATACCTGGTTTCAAAAGAATTACTTGGACTGACTTTGAATGAAAATTAGTACCGGACATACATTTTGGGTACTCGAGAGCATGCGTATGCATGGACTGACTGAAATGAAATTATATGATAGTCTTGTCAGGAAATTAATCAGATAAGGTAGAATATTTAGAAAGGCAAATCACAAGAGCATGGACATGCACATTTAAAATGGTAACAGATGTCACGTAAAAAGTGAAAACAATATCGTCCACAAAATACCACGAAACAAACAAGGACACAAGGTAGACAGACACCTAACAAGCTGAATTTTTCGGTTACACGAATGGGTTATGGATTATAGTTTATGTTTGCTCAAAGTTCATAGGACCGCAGATGCAAGGAAGGCCGCCATATAAAAGTTTAGGTGTGCAAATAAGAGAACCTAGGCTAGGTCTATGATTTTTTTTTCTTTTTCACTCTTTGTCCAGGGCGTTACCTCATGAACCGAAGCATTAGAAAAGCAACAGAATGCAGAAGCCAGAGCAGAGAAACAGCACAGTCACTGACCATTATGAATGAGACCCATTCAAAGTCAGTTCACCCAACTTCATATCGTACAAATTTCATGACAGTTGAAATGTGAGAATATCCTATCAAACAACCTGAAGGATCAGGACCCAAATCATTCAAAGTACCTCAAAGCAAGACAAATTAGGTGAGAGCAACAGCAGAGAAACCATACCAGTATGCACAAATCGCATGGCATAAAATAAGGACTGCAGCTGAGCCTTTCCAGAAGCAGTCTGAACTCACGATATTTCCCGGACGAATATCTAAGATAATGACTGAAGCAGAGGGACGTATCAACCAGTGATGACATATCAGTCACCTTGACATACTCTATACGCCCAGCAATATCCAGAATCTTCACATTAGGACAAACTAACTCCAGATGCCCACTGATATCAATGTTTAAATGTTTGATATCTGATCGTGTAAGATCAAGCTTTTTCAACCCGCAATCCTCCAAATTTAAAACTTCAATAGATGGGGCACTACAGAATTCAGGCTCATGGAGGCCATAGCAGTCTTCAAGAGACAATTCTTTCAGCAACGGGCAACCAGATAGTATGCCAGCCATTTTGTTGTCAGTTAAGTCAATTTGCTTCATAAACAATTTTCTAAGCGACCTTAGTTGGACCTCTCCCACCAGCCAGACCTCACAGGAAGCCAGCTTCAGCTCTACTAAGCAGCTACACCTAAGAACAATGCTGGGCAGCACGTAAAGATTATCTGGGGACTCCCCAGCACACCCTAAGAAGTTCAAATCGAGGAACTGAACCTTTCTCCTCACTGCAAAACAAATCCACGTACCGATTTTGTTCGACCTTCTTGTCTCTTCAGTTATACCATCCTCCCATTGAGGATCATTGTTATCCGGGTACACCTCAGCCCAATAGTTTAAATTAAGACGGAACGAATCGATTGTGGGGTTCTCGTGCAGAGTCAGCACATGGTCGGTAAAATTCACGAATCTCTCATCGATTCTAAAAGCAGCGGCCTTCTCCTTGCAGTTGTGGTAAGCACAGTGATCGAAAGATAAGTGGCGGGTGGAAGTCCAGAGGTAACGGAATCTCGGGACCATCACTGTCCTAACGGCGTCCCTCGTGGGCAGGAAAGACAGGATATGGAGGAGCACCGAGTCTGGCAGATTACTAATCACATCACGTCGGTCATCTCTGTCCATCTTTTGACGTTTCAGCTCGCTACTTTCCATGGAGATATCATCGCCCGCCATAGTTGTTCTCCTGCAGGACCCTCCAAAGACGTAAAGACCCAAAAATAAAGGAAAGAAAGATATCACGGGACAATGCTTCAAAGTGATCAAAACAAAGGTCCGTTAGTGAAAACTGGGACCCATAAAGAGCAACACAAAATGGGGTTTCCCAGAATGAAGCTACTCAGGAATTTCGACAAACAGTTGGTGTGCAACAGAGCAACAAACCAATCTCCGGTAACAAGGGTAGTCATTCAAGTACCTAAAGGCAAACGGAGGTCGTGGCAGAAGATCGAAGCGTTGTTTCTGACGTTGCGCTCGATTTGGCGTACACATTCAACCCGGATTGCTTTGGAAAATCAAGTGGACCTCCATAGTTCAGTCGCTGCTGCACGGAGGAGAGTAATGTGAATGACGCGGACTTGGTTCGTTTCCGATCGAAGGAATTGGAGGGGTAATAGAGATGTAGTAGTGTCTTTGGGAGCCCGAAGAAGAAGGCAGAAACGCCATGACGATTAAACTTCCCTCTTTACCCTACATTATTAAACTTCCAAAAAAATGGCCGAAACTTCGGCAAAAATATCCTCCAAAAAAGAAAAATCTTTTGGCAAACATATTTTCCAAAACGTCCCGAGGAGAGGCACATGAAAGAACACGTGTACTTATACGCCAATTAGACAAATTTCATATATATGCCCATGGGACAATTTTACCTTTGTCATCCGTAAGCAAAGCCCAGCAAAAGCAACAACAAGCGAACCGGATAATCTAAATGACGCGAACCGGGAAGCCATAATATATCATGACTTATTGGCTTAAAGTTAATTAAAGTACGAAAAGAAAGCCGTCAAACATAATTAGGATATTTCTTCAGGATATTTTCCAATGTAAGAGATAATTAAGATATTTCTCTTGATTTTTTGTATATCTTAATATTGCGCATATATCTTCGTTTGACTATGCATATACTTGATTGATAGTTATCTAATAAAGCCAATGTACTCTTCATAAAAAAAAAACACATAAACATAGATTTGTGCACCATTCTTGTTGCAAACATTTATCTTCCATGAGCAATGGATAAGGACATTTGGTTTTATCGAAAGAAAATTCAGACAAACGTATGCAATGTAGTAGCTTCCTAATTAAATCGAATTAATTAAAAAAACAATGCATCAAATAAAAAATCCAAACTGTGATTAATTTTGATTTTTCTTATCTAATGAGAAATAGATGCTATAGATTAGGTATGATAAAAAAAATTATAAACCTTTCAAAAGATTTAGGAATAATTAGCATGATTGAAAGGTAAATTGGCAAATCATCAAAATATTAAGGACTAAATTGTCTAAATTTAAAGATTTATGACTAAATTGCCACAAGTGTAATAAGTCTAAGACTTTTTGGTAATTTCCCCTATACACTTATGACAACAACAAAAAAAGCAGTTCTATTTGCCAATTTGGCAACACTTTCATCGAGTGGTTTAGCTAATGATGCATATTAATAACAATTATCTCTATCTAAAAAAATAATTGGTTGTACTCGGTGCAAATGAGCCCGATTCGCATGCACCGTCAGATGAGATGAACTTTATGTACGATCCGCTCGATTTAATAGTGCATGTAAGTTGGGCTCAGCCATGAGTTGCTCCTCTACCTGTACATTTGCTTTAAATGAAGTGCCCCAGGCACGGAGATGATGAGACTTGGCGTTACTAAAGCAACTTCTCGCATTTTGCACGACGGGTTCCTTTTTCTCGGCCTCCGTTATCCTCAATTTTTTCTGAGTTCTTCATTCCAAAACGCTCAGAAAATCCCAGTACTGTAATTAAGGGAGTTTATTACTAACAGGAGGGAGTTCTTAGAATAAATAAGAGTACATTTATTTCACTGAAAATCAATGATTTGAAAAATATTCATCTAAAATTAATTATTTGGATCACAAAGAAAAATCAATTGACAGAAAGTATTTTCCTTATCATCCACACTATGCCTAATATTTTCGTTAATATATTTATTTTGTAAGCAACACAATGGTCAATTTTAAAAAATATTTATTTTTTAGATCATTGATTTGACGCATAATAAATGCACCCCAAATAAGATTGCATAATCACCTGCAAGCTTAATATTTGATGTTCATATAATGCTTATTATCTTTCTCTTTGCTTGACAATGTATGTCCAATCCCACATATTCAGGGGTTACGTTTCTCATGGATATATCACATGAGTAATGTTAAGAATGGAAAAAAAATATGAAGTGGCCGGCTGTAAAATGAGCAATTAAATATAGAGTTTGTATTTAGAATCCAGTAAAAGTTTGTCACGTCACTTGATGTATCAATATTGTTAACTAGTTTTCACATTCCTAGCATTAGTCATCCATGATAAATAACAAAAAGGGACTCCAGGATTTGGCATTTGTTAACAGAGGGCATGTTAGGTGAGAGATGGGAATGTATCTTGCGTTGGAAAATAAGAAGGCATACTAGTTTCATTCCATCCCTCGGCATTGTTTTGCTACTCGCAAGTCGTCTTCCTTCAAGACAAAATAGTGTTTATTCGTTTATGCTATCGTATGTGTCGCCATTAATGTCCATTGCACTCACCTATGTATTCTCAAAAGTAATCTTCCCACCGTCTCACCAAAGGAATTCAATCTACTAGGTTATTTGATTCAGAATCTTGGTGTGATTCTGCTTCTATTGGGGCATGTGATACGCCTGCTGTTAAAGACAGTCCACAACCTCAGCATACCAGCGAGGGAGAGGAAGTTTCTTCCGACACAATGGTCATGCACCAAGGGGGGATTCCAACGATGAGGCTAAATAATGTTAGTGTTCTTTTGTTGGGGTCAATGTTTTGTATTATCCTGGGAATTTTGTGGCGGTCCATCATAGGATACGCCTACGTAAAAACGAGTCATGGTATGGAGACCCCTTATGTGTGCTTGAGAACAAATTTGCCAGGTTTGGCGAGCTTAAGAGAATGAGCTTTCTGTGGAAAAGATGCAGCATCTGCTGGCTACTTGATGAGGTGTTGTTGCTATCCTCAAAGTCCGCACAAGTGATCGCGACTCTGGAGCCTTAACGCATCGGCTGTTGAGAGAGAAGTTGGAAAGGCTTAGGCTAGCTTATTCATCACTTAGAATGTGTCCAAAACCAGAGTGCTGGACTAAGATTTCAGTATGTATGTAGCTTTATTTGGACTGGCAGAGGGTCACTGTGTCTCCTAGGACCGTCTCACGACGCTGAGTAGTAGCCGCTCATGAGTACTAGGGAAGAATCAGAAGTGCAAGAAGACAATCACCTAGTGCATCCATCTGCCGAAAATTTACGCTTTTTTCAAGCAAAATTCAATGAGGCGGCTTTGTTCATCAACTAGCTCACGTCTCTGGAAGAATCAGAGGAACACTATAATGAACAAAATGGAACTGCGATTACTATTTGTTACACAAAATAGTTGAATAACCACCTGTCACCGTCCACTTAATCAATGTTTACCAAGAAAGAGAACAGCTAGTTATGAAATGCATAGTGACAATATGGCGGTAGCTGATGCAGTTGGTCCTGAAATTGCTCCTGTGACAACTCTTGTGGGTGTAGATGATTCTGTTCACGATCTTCTAAAGCATGCTGGGATCTTGAGTTTCCTGAAGTTGAAGCCGTTGCGCGAACTCGAACCTCTACCACTTCTTGAGTCGAAAGCCGCTCCTGAATGCGAGGCTGTGCCCCTCCTTGAGCTTAAAGCAACTCTAGTCACACCTACTACATTTGTGTCGGCGGGACCATTCTATTTCTCCTGATTACTTCCATAATTTGTCCATCCAATATGGCACAGACATTAATTAGAAACAAATGTACGATCATTGTTTTTAGTTCCAGCAACCTCGCGAAATGAAGCAATAAGTATTGCTAGATTTAATTTCAGCTTTTCCAAAATCAGCGAGAATTTTGAACAGAGAAGGCAGTTCAGCTCAATTTTAGATTGTTGTAATCTCTTACCTCCTCCTTGGCTTCTTCATCGTCGTTCTCTTCCTCATCTTTGTCGTCATCGTGGTTATTGCCGTCGCCTTCCTCATTTACGTTATAGTCATCCATGGAATAAACCGACAAAGGCCAGCTAGACAATGACGGCAGGACCTCATCATCCTCGTAATCGTCCTCATTGTCCTCGCCATCATCTCGCTGACAAGAGAGAGGTTCGAAAATATCATATCTAAGGTGAATTAAACATCTTCAAAGAAGCTAACGTCAAAATCCCCAAATATCAACTGACAGCCTAGTTTGAACACCCAACTACAATGCTTTCTAAAGCATCAATTGAACGTAAAGCCATTAGAATCTAGCAGCATTCACAAATTCACGTATCTTCATTACCTCAAAATGGGAACAGAGCAACTCTGAAGCTTTGATCCACTTCTCGCTGACTTTCCCAAGACTTACACAAGTTAAGAAAGAAAGAAATCTGGTTTTGGAGACAAAAAATGATTTTTGCAAGAAGCTGAGTATTGGTATGATAGTTGTTGGAAATGGGGTCGGGTTTGTGTAGTAGCTTTCTGTGTTAACAAAGGCGGTGGCCGGAGATGATGCTCGCTTGGTTGTTGGCTAGTACGATTCTATTTGTGGTGATGGTGGCACCACCATTGTGGGACGCATACGAACACCTGCAAGCGACCACTGACGAGCACTGATGGCCCTCACCGATACCCCGACAAGGGTCGCCAGCCCTTGCCAAGAAGCCCATGTGGTCTGACCTCCTTTTATCACAAATTTCTTTTAGCTTTTCTATTTTTTTAAAGTCTGATAATCTTTTCTTTTTATCCTCTTTTTCTTTTTCTTTTTTTTTAAATTCCTTATACTTTTATCTTTTTAAATTTTCAAATTCTTTGGCGCTTGGTGGGTGCCCCATTGATATGGTGTCTTAAGAAAGTATTAAAAAAAATTCATAAGCCAAACTAAACGAAGTTAAATTGATTGCATTTTTTGAAAATTTTAGAGTTCAATTACACTTTCACGATTAATGTTAACACTCTTGATACACTTATTTCTTTCTTCTATTAACTTAGTTTGAACTTTTAATAAGTATGTGATATGAAGTAAAATTAAACATCAATGATTAGATAATTACCTACCTAGGAGTACGGTCTCATCACTACATTCCCTTTTTTGAGGGACAAGACGAAGAAAAATAAGAACAATAAGTGTAAATAAAACTTTCTAATAACTATTTTTTTTTTCTAATAACTATTTTTTCTACTCTTAATTTGAGAATTGTAACTACTCATTTTTCACTGACCATCGAATCAAGGATAGATTAAATCGCTTGTGAAAATTTCTTTTATACTGCTATAATTACTCAAAAATGGGGTCAATAGAGTTTTTTTTTAATATTATAGTGCTAACAGTAAACTTGACTAACTCCTATTTATACACATAAACTACCACGTCTAAGTAATCAGACTATATCAACATATTGACTAGTGTGCTCCCAAGATTCCTTTGTATATTGCAATTGTTATCCTGAACCAAATCAAATTATAATCGAATAATCACAAATTAAGCAATTGAATATTTGAAATGAATATGGTTTAGTCTATTACCTAATTTGAATAGTCGATTCCAGCGGCGATTGGTGGTGAGAGGATCACGGCAACCGGTGAGGGGGCCCGACGAGCGTTCTCAGGAACTTGGCGTGATTGGTGGTACCGAGGTTATTAGAACGTCACCAAAGAATCACTGGAGAGCTACTAGGGCCTACGAACTCGCAGGAAATCCGCAAAATAGGAAGATTCGAGTGCAACGGTGACGGTGAGGGTGTTGGTACAGCTCAGTCAGCGCAGGAAAGTCTGCAGGCGCAGCATGAGAGGCACGACAGCAATGCGGTGACTAGCAAGAGGCGTTTGTGTCACCTGGACTATCGTGGGCTCGCCGAGCTCGACTGACGCTACTGATGGGTCGGCGGGTTGGACTGATTGCTTGCCAAGAACTGCTGCACAAGGACAGAGCTCGGCATCAGTGAGGCAGGGTGCAGTGGAGCAGCAGCAGGAAATGCAGTACTGGGGCTGGCGCGCTGGTGTCTCGCCGGAAAGCTGAACGGCGACAGCAAGGACAACAAGAACCCCCAGCAGTCGTGAGCGTAGAGAGAGTTCATCTATAATGCCCCTCTTTATGTATTGCTCAACCTCTCCATAATATCCAACCTCTCTCAAAACCCTCTCTTAGTGAGTTCATATAGATGCAAGATTAGGTTGTCTTGCAAGAAGGAAAATCCCCCACTTTTCTAGTTTAGGTTATGTGATCTATTCTTACTAGGAAACCAAAGTATTTCTCTTTCTTATTCAAAACTGCTTGAGTTGGTCCAATTAGAATGTAGTTTATTACGTGGGCTTAAGGCTATAAAAAATGCTCCTAATATGCAAATTGATAATATTTTTGTTTCAGAGTTGGGATAGACTCTTAAGTTTTTATGCAAAGAATGACTAAATGAGTTGCCAAAATTTAGCTGTTAACACCACGTACAGTACAACGGCGTTCAATTATACTCATACAAAAACATACTTTATCACTCAAAACTAGACTTGTCAAAATGGGTCATAGACCAAGTTCTTCTTAACTTATATATGGTAGGCTGAGTCATTATATGTGTTGGTTATATTCAGTAAATAGGTCATAAACGAGTTTAAAATGATAAAACCTAACATAATTTGGGTGTTAAATGGGTCATGAATGGGTTTACAACTTACTTAGATCCAACCCACCTCTATGACTCAGGCTCTCTTCGTTCTCTCTTGCCCTCACTCGATCTCGTGCTCATTCACTCTATACTAGTATGAGTTTTCCTAGATTGGGTTATATATGGAAGTGTTCTAGTATTATGAGTCGGGTCGGATTGTGTATGAGTTGGATACGGATCTGGTTGGTATAGGTAATTAGATTTGCATTGCATATAAATTAGTCACAACAGGTTAAATGGATCAATTTGGGTCGAACCATTTTTGACCCAACCCACTTGTTTGATGGGTCAATCCAAAACCACTCATTTTCATGCACAAATCTAGATTTCCTCACATTTTTTAGGCTAAAAAAATGATGAAATAAGAAGAGTTCAATTTTCTATCCTCTCACGTCCCAGAAAGTCCTCGAAAAACCATCGTACAGGCAAAATCAGAACTGAAACATCTCTAAAAAAGCCAATGGGTTCGAGCTCAAGAACTCATCAACAGGCTCAATTGGGCCATTGTGGGCAACGCTAAATCCAAAAACTCCATTGCTCGCATTCAAGAAATTAATAATCTCATTCAGTGACTCGAATCTATGGCAGAGCTCACCCACCTGGGCTCTCAGCATAGAGTTCTCAGCCTGAATGCCCAGGTAATGCTATCTGGTGATGTTGATGTTAGTCCCGATCTAGGGTTCTCCTTGCTCAGCTGGGCGACCTGATCCGATAGATTGTCTAGGTGCTTCTGCTTCCTCATCTAGACTCATGGTTCGAGATCATCCTCATCCTCTTCCTCTTCCTTTGGTCCATCACAACCTGCAAGTCCTCCCCGGAGGTCGAGTTCTAAACCTGGGATGACCTTGACGATGTCCTACTAGGAGATGCCATTGATGCATGTCGCGACCTTAACTCAGGGTGCACCACCTAGAGTTTGGCTAATTGATTAATAAGTTTAAATTTAACTCGGGCTCTCCCAAGCCCATATAAATTCACAACTTTAGGTTCAAGTAAAGAATTGAGAGAATTACTTTACTTCTACGATCCAGAGATTTAATGAGTTAAGGGACTTGATTACACTTGATTACTCTTAATACCCTTTCGGTACCATTTCATTTTCTTGAAAATATTTATGCAGGCAACTTGGATTGATTTTAAGCTAGATTATAGGGAGTGATCATGCAGTACGTAACCATTAAATAACAACCAATAAATAAAGCAAATGAATTGCAAGAAAGCCAAGCAATTGGACACACCAAAACAATCAATTATTTTTTGGGTTTTCTTTTATCTTAAAATAAAGACTAACCTATATGACGTGCAAATCCTAATATGGAAAGTATATGACACGCACATGATATTTTTGGTATTTTTATGAAAATTTGAATTTAAAAAATACCCTAATTAAACTATCTAGAAAGAATAGTTATTTAATCTCCCTATCCCATCTTAAAAGAACTATTTTAAAACACGCAATAAACATGCAATGTTATCTAAATTATCCTAATCTGTTAAGGAATATTTTATTTAAAATCTATTCTGATTTACTCTAGAATCTATCCTAACATGCAATCTTTTTGTATTTTTTAGATAAGGAAAGGAATCAAAGATAAACATTTAAGTCAATCAAGATATCAACCACCACAAAAATAAGCATCCAATCAATTTAAATAATGAATATTATCCAATCAACTAGATATTTTCGTAAATAAAAAACGATGTCCTAATGTTAGGGCTTAAAGATCAAGATATCAATTTTTGTACCGCGTAATCTAATAATTCCATCTAAGTGCTTATAAATAGAATCAAAAAATTTTGTCCGATTTTGTCGCATTGCGGATTAGGAAATAAATCCTAAGCGATAATGCCTATCACTCAAAGATATTCAAATTAGATAATATTTCTTATCAATTCAATCAATCAAATATTTGAATCAAATCAAGATAAGATTTTTACCTTTCATGTTTCCAAATTCGAACTATTTCGACGAACGGTGGCTGGTGGCTAGGGACCGGCGATGCTCGACTCATGGCCAAGGATGGTCGGTGGTGTGCTCGTGGTTTGGTCTCTAGCCTCTCGGTGAGGCAAGGACTGAGCAAGCTCGCAGCGTTACTGTGAGTACTCGATGGAGAATCAGACAAGACAACGACCAACGAGATTGGGCAACGCGGCTGTACGACTCGTTGGACTTGGTAATGACTTTGAACTCACGGAGTTTCACTGCGAGGACACTTGTGAAGTTGCTGGACGTTGCTGGATTTCAAAGGAGGACCTCCGGGAGTCGTCCAAATTGATCGAGACACGCCAGACCTGCAGGAGAATGGCCGAATTACAGGGACTTGCTGGAAAACTTGACTGCAGTGAGCGTCGGGTCAGGGACAGTGGCTCGCCGGGATTGTAACGGTGCTATGGTAGCTGGCGATGAGCACTAGTTCCGCTGGGCTGCTGTGCTGAACGTCGGAGAGGATGGGCTCGCCGAGAATCTGCAGAAAATTGTTTGGAATTACTGGAAACCGCTCGCGCTCACTGGCTGGTATCTCTGGGCGCTCGCTGGCTGTTGGAGCAGCGGCTGAGGCGTGAAGGGCTGAGGCAGGGACAACTCCGGATGTTGGAAGCGTGGTGGTGCAGAGTGGGGCGTGATATCATCCGCAAGAAGTAAAGCAACAGTCGTTCATGAAGAGGAATCAACACATGGCAGTCAAGGGAGAGCTTCTTTGCATGTATCGTGAATATAGCCGCCTCTCTCTCTCTCTCTCTCTCTCTCTCCCACATTTTCCTCTCTATTGCCGTGTGTCCCTGAATGTGTCCCCCTCTCTTCATGATTTTCTTTTTCTCTCAA